AATGTTCAACAGCTGCGACACGGAAAAAAACGTCCGTGATAGCGTCAGTATCGGTTACTTCGTCAACAGGGTAGCGGGATAAATAATCCGCATCGTGATGTAATCGCCCTGTTTTGTACAATACAGAGAACGTGTACTCTTGAAGGCGTAGAGCTCAACGAGCGAGACGTCCCGTGGGGTCCTTCAGGGAGGCTAGCCAGCAGAGCGCGTGATGATCCGTGACAACACGGAATGAGCGCCCGTACAGGTATGGACGAAACTTGGCGACTGCCCATACAAGGGCGAGGCACTCGCGCTCCGTAATGGAATAGTTGCGCTCGGCTGGAGATAGCAGTCGACTTGCGTAGGCCATAACACGGTCGTGTCCCCGTTGTTGCTGCAATAGCACAGCTCCTATGCCGTGTCCACTGGCGTCCGTGTGAACCTCGGTTGGGGCTAATAAATCAAAGTGAGCCAAGATTGGTGGCATTGTAAGTAGTGTCGCAAATTGCAAAAACGATGACGCTTTGTCATGGCCCCAGATAAACGAGGCGTCTTTCTTCAAGAGGTCTGTGAGGGGGCGTGCAATGGTCGCAAAGTCCTTAACAAAGCGTCTGAAATATGAGCAGAACCCCACAAAACTGCGGACATCCTTTTTGGTCCTCGGAATGGGAAAGTTCGTGACGGGACGAATTTTCTCTGGGTCTGGACGCACGCCTTGGGCATCGACAAGGTGACCGAGCACGGAAATTTGACGACGAGCGAAGTGGCACTTGGAGGCGTTAAGCTGGAGTCCGGCTCGACTAAAATTGTCCAGAATAGCTGACAAACGATCAAGATGCGAGTAGAATGTGGGCGAAAAGACAATAACATCGTCAAGGTAACACAAGCAGGTGGACCATTTCAACCCTTGGAGCATTGAGTCTATCATTCTTTCAAATGTGGCTGGTGCATTGCAGAGACCAAAGGACATCACCTTAAATTGATAAAGACCATCAGGAGTGATCAATTCGGTCTTCTCGTGGTCCATCTTGTCGACGGCTATCTGCCAGTACCCTGACCGAAGGTCAATAGTTGAAAAATAAGTGGCACCGCACAGGCAGTCAAGGGCGTCGCCGATGCGAGGTAAAGAATAAACGTCTTTTTGGTAGTTTTGTTAAGGTGACGGTAATCGACACAAAAGCGCCATGTTCCATCTATCTTTTTAACAAGGATGACTGGAGAAGCCCAGGCGCTGCATGAAGGCTCGATAATGTTTTTCGCAAGCATTTTGCCGACTTCATGTTATAGTATTGCACGCTCCGACGCAGACACACGGTAGGGGGGTCGGTGAATGGAAGTTGCATGGCTAGTATTTATGCGATGGGTGACAATGGTCGTTTGGCCTAAAGAGTTGCTTGCAAAGTCGAACATGCTACGATATCCCTCAAGAACGTGGCAAAGCGCTGCAGCTTGCTCAGACGTGAGGTCCGATGACACCATTCGCTCGGATGTCGGTGCCCTAAGAACGTGATGGAGTGGAACCACTGACTGAGCTGCAGCAATCGTCAACTCTGAAGGGCTCGACATGGTCATCTTGGAGAGCGGTAATTTTGGCCAGGGAGATACCCTGTGGCAGAACTTGGGTGGTGAGTGAAAAGTTGACCAGTGAAAGGAAGGTGTGGTTTCTCGTAATCGTCAGAATCATATGCGGCACAGCAACCCAATGCGAATTCATCACGGCAGGAATCGGAGCCACCATGTAATCACCATCAGGTACTGGCGGCGTGGAGGATAAGTCGACATGTGTGACAGAGTTAGGAGGGAGGCGCTTGAAATCAATGCAGCAGAGGCTGGTTTGCGGTGGGCTAGTCGGGTCGGAAAAGAAGGGTAAATCGAGATGGAGAGAGCCAGCTGAACAGTCTATGAGGTCAGAATGCGTGGCTAGAAAATCCATACCGAGAATGAGTTCATGAGGGCAATGTTTGATAACGGCGAAAAGAACGACAGTGCTTCTCTCCCCAATAGACACTCGTGCAGAACACATACCAAATATTGCACCAGTTTTTTCATGAGCAACTCGTACAGCTCGGTTGAGGGCGGGCGTGACAACTTTTCTAAGTCGGCGGTGAAGGTTAGCACTCATAATGGTCACATGCGCGCCAGTATATGTCAATGCACTGACACGAACATTGTCGACAGTAATGTCCAAAAGGTTCCGGTTCGTTGTTAACGTTAATCGAGGATTTCTTAGGAAGGTCTTCAACGCAGCTCCACCTCCAGAAGCTGCACAGCCTAGTTTTCCGGTCGGAGGTGCTGCGAATAGGTCGGGGAGGCAGCACGGCGTTGTGGGGGCGACCGGAACTGACGACGAGCAGGGGACGGTGACCAGTCGTAGCGAGGTCTGCTCAGAGGTGCTGTAGGAGCGAAAAATGTGGTCGGCGTTAATGGAGAAAGTGATGGAGATGACTGGCGTGCAGAAGTGGCGTGATACTGAGGTGCATAATGGGACGGTGGAGCCCAGCGGCTGCGGCAGTAACGAGTGATATGACCAACGCGTCGACGGTTAAAACATATGAGCCTGTTATCAAGAGTACGCCATTCGGACGGATTGCGTTGTATGCGAGGCGCAGAAGGGGTACAATAAGAAGGCTCAGCAGAGTATACGGTAGGAACAGGATGTAGGCCGACATTCGATAGCTCTTGATGAACGACCGCTTGTATTAAAGAGATCGTGGTCGGGGAAGGCGCAGGCGTCGGTAATGGCATGGCTACCGGTTGTGCTGCCTCGACATCTCGACGAATGATGCGTGTAAGGTTGTCACATCGAGAGGCCTGGTGGAAGGCGTCATCGCATGAAGAAGTGACCGCTGTGCTCGGAAGGCGCACGATGCTTTGGGCTACGCGGCGGGCTTTAGCTTGTTTGAAACGTCGGCATTCTTTAAAGATTGTGTCGATGCTCAAGACGTTGTTAAGAACCAGCAGGTTGAAAGCATCGTCAGCAATGCCTTTCAAGGCGTGGTTAACCTTTTCGTCTTCCGACATGCACTGGTCGGCCTTGGAACAAAGGGCCAAGACGTCAACAATGTAGGAGACGTACGATTCGGTAGTAGACTGGGCCCGTGTGGCAAGAGTCTTCTTCGCAGCGAGCTGACGACCAGATGAATCGCCAAACAGGTCCCGTATCTTTTCTTTGAAGAGATCCCAGCTCGTTATGTCGGTTTCGTGGCTTTCAAACCATGTTCGGGGAATGCCGTCCAGGTAGAAAAGCACGTTGGCGAGCATGAGTGTGGGATCCCAGCGGTGAGTAGCACTGACGCACTTGTACCGGTTCAGCCAAGTGTCAAGATCGATCGTACCATCACTGGAGAAAGTGCCGGAATCCCGGAGGTGCGGGACTGTGACGTAGGTGGTGGCTTGGACTGATGAGGGCGGCGTAGAGGAAGTACCAGCAGTCGAAGCAGTCGAAAGGTCGCCGATGGTGCGACCGCTGCGCGTCTCCATTGAGGTACGGGGGTCGTCCATCTCCACCAATAATGTTACGAGTAACTTGTTTAATGATCTATTTACAGCGCACAGAACTCGACGAGCAAGATGGCGCCAGACCAGCATCAAACGAAAACCCACTTCGTCCTCCTCTTTCGTGCAGCCGTGTTTAGCGGCTGTTATGTGTCAATATCATACGTAAGATTGCATCGCGTATTCTTGCATGGTGGGTCCAGTAAAGATTGAATAAAGATGAATAAACCATTCAGATTGCCGATTAGACGTTCTTCACCCCACATCAGTCACTGGGATTAATTTTTGGCAAAAAAAGAATAGCGCTTAGCGTGTGAATAACGTTATCATTTGAAGGCAGAACCTTGCAAACTAACTGACATTACCATGAAGTAACTGTTACAAATGCTTCAAATTGTGATATGATAAAAGCGTATCTTCTGTGGGTCCCAAACGCCCGAAATTCCTGATGGAACAGCACCAAAGAAAAAATTGGCCCCGCATATGAATTTTTTACTGTAAATGTCGTCGAAAGACGATAGTCTTGCGTGTGTAGAGAGTGAACGAAAGGTTTATTTGAAGTTCTGCGCGAGAAAATTCGCGATTTGTATTCTAAAAGCGCTGCATTAGAGAGTCTCGATCCGCGCAGCGCAGGCTAGTGTGCCCATCGAGTCACGTTAGACATGAGCGCCATCTGGCAGTTATCTTTGAAAGCAAAGGAAGGCGTGCGCGCCTGCGGAGAAAGATGCGTGCCTGTCTCGGAGGCGATAAGTAGTAAAACGCAAAGCGACGGGCAAGTGCCACCACCATGTCGTCTGAGCAAAGCCTTGGAAACACTTGCCTTTTTGAGCATCGCGTTGCACTGCCAGCGCAGCGTGATAAACGCTACGGTCCTTAGAATTACTTGTGTGTGCCTTCTCTAGTACGATGGCACACATACAAAACATCGAGGTGCTGTTATGGTGCCTTAGAAATGCACAATAGTTGCCTTTACATTGAGGATCGCACAAGTATGAACGCTGAAACTTGAGCAATATTGGTGGGCGCTGCGGATGGGGTAGGTCGTTTGAGGTATCGTTTGGTTACTTTGGTGCCATGAGAAAGATCGTTACCGTGGACAAACAGACAAATGCGGAGACAGAAAGACGGACAGACACACCGAAATTTCAGCGTCGAAGGTTCCCAAAAAATACTATCGTCTTTAATAAGTATTACAGGAATTCTGCTGCTACTGTGCAACACTTTTGCGAATGTTTCCGTTCACCTTGTTCTCCTTCAGAAAATGAGACAGAAGAGGGGTGAGAAAAAGGTTCGCTCTACATACTCTTCTGCTTTCCTCCTGAGGTCGTTCTTCAAATGTGTTAGAGCTTTGTTCATTACCAGCCCAGTGAATGCGATGAAAAATTATAGGACTGCATCTCGCATCTAGAGCAATGTAGGGCACCTTAATATTATACCTGAATATAGACATTCCTCTGCCAAAGCAGTTTATGTCATGTAGTATAACGAATAAAAGTAACTTGATAATTTGTGCCTCCTTCCAGATTCCACAGTATCGTCGGGAAAATACCACTACACGGATTTTCACACCTGTCTGGTATTGGACATTGACTTTCAGGGATATCGTAAGCTTCCTTTTCTTTATGTGTGCTATTTTCAAGTTTGACCAGTAATGTTTACTCATGAAATTATACGGTAATGTCTGCTCACGTTTTCTTATATTTAGTGAGAGATTTTTAATGTTTTAGTACTACAATCTTGCCTACGCCTGTAGTATTGATAGGTAAACGTTTTAACATCACGTTATGAGATCTAGAGCAGACACTACCAATGCATGCTCGTTAAAAGGCAGCCAACTTGAACGGCCTAAACCAAGAAGCACAACTTGTAGATTACATTGCAAGATCTCCGTAATTCCCGTGCAACAACAGCGTCAAGCAGGACGGTCGACGTTATGTAACAGTTGTTAGGCTGCGCAGCTTTCCTGGAAACCCGAGACAAGGTCACACGAACTGTGCAGCGTACGCGCAAACTAGTTTTAAAGATCCCAACCACGGTACGTGTATTCTGCAATAGGCCCAGAATGCAGCGTGTGATGTTGCCGCTATTTTCAGTGCACGGTATAATTAGTGGAAGGAATGTCGTTTACGGACAGTGTATCGGTGGCAAAGTATTTTCCAGTGACGCCCCGAAATCTATATTTCTGCGCGCTTCGTGATGGCATATTCATAAGACAGATCAATGTAATTGCACACGATTCCATGCGTGAGAGCCATGCGAGAAAAAGAACGACGTGTGTACAAACCACACGTGGTTGGTACACACGAAATAATGCCGCAATATTTCAAAGACATCTAACGTGGACGTGGCCACTATTTTAAAGATTCTTGTCTCGCTGTACGTTTCGTGCAGAAATATATTGAGCTGGGCGAGTTGGTAAGAATGCCTTTTAGAAAGAATGCAGGGTGCACACATGCAGGAGAAAGTGAAAGGCAGAGAAACAACCACACCAATATATCTTTCTTCCTATCATTCTCGTTTATTGTGCACGCGCTGAATTATTCTTAAAGCTTTTGCAAGTTTTGCATGATAGCGTACGCAAGAAGAGTAGGGTGCTTCTGGCCCCTACTCACCCCTCCTATTTCTGATGGTGCATGCAGCTCTAACGAAAAAGCTGGCGCATCAAATCAGTTACAATAAGCGCTTTACAGGAAGATGTTTGGTTTACACTGCACAGACAGACAGATGAACTTTATTTGTTTACAGTGTACAAGAATAATTATTAAAGGGTCCTCACATGACGCACTGTAAAGTTCCCAATATAGCTTACACGTGAAACAATTCAACTGCTTCGTGTTAGGGCTATAAGGTACGTGCGTTAATGTTATTGAGGTAAAGTATGTGATACGTTTATTCTACTTTTGTTTCTAAAAACACACTCAACTTGCGTCTCACAATTTTTTCAGCAGTGAATAATTTACTACTTTAGGAACACACAGCTCTTTTTATGTATTGAAATAGAAACACGAAGCATGGAGCCGCGCTGTTCATTTTGTTGTTTTATTTTAATAACTTCAGTATAGGTTGTAAAATGAAAAATACAAACGAGAGTGCCAGCCACAATATTCGTTGATATTGATTGCGAAACCATAATATTTTTTGCAACGAAAGTAAAATCTTTCAATCAGGACTAATCAAGGCCTGAATGTTCAATATGTCACACATGGTACCCTCAGTTTGCTACCTAAAATTACTATTATCATGAAGGTTCAGAAGTAGTGGGGGGATTATTAACCCACCGAGTAGCAAGCTTTCGAACAATGAGTCCGTCGCGGCTGGTTCTCGAGCAGTGAAAAAAAACGAGACCTTCTTTTTCCTCCCGGGCGAGAGCCACTTTTGCCCTTGAAGCACTACGTGCGGGTGGCATTATTTCCTTTTCCGGAAAGAAAAAGAACAAAATAGTGAAAAAAAAAGACATAGCACCCCACAGAAAAAAGCTACGACATAGGCACGTAAAAAAAGTGAATAGAAAATTCAGATAAAAAAAGTACAAAAAAGAGCTATTCTTGGGTCGGCTCATCGGAAAAAATGCGTTCTGTCTTCGATCTACGTGGTCAGTTTCGTTCGGCAACTGGACGCGGGCCAGAATAGATCGTTCAGCTCGTTCTTGGTGATAAGCGCTGGCGTAGGTCTGCGGAAGTCTACGAGAGAATTTGCGCCACAACATCAGCTGCTCCTCTCGATTCTGCTACCATGTACGTGCCCCTTCCTCGAGGTAAAAATAAACAGGACCCAGTTTCGCTGCGTCGTCCCACTAGTCCAAGGTGGCTACGCGCTCTAAGCTTGTCAACTAGTCTTCAACGTCTTCCCTCTCCTTGGGATAGAGCGTCGCTGGCACTTGTGGGCTTTCTAGTGTGTAACGCTTCAACTTCGTGTTTTCTGTGCCAGTTGGTGACGTCTGCACAGAAGTGCTGATCATGTTTGTTAACGTAATGGGAACAATATCATCAACTTCCAGAGGTAATCCCCTGACTCGGCGGGTGGCCCGATGAACTGTGGTGTTTACTGGCAATGAACTCGTATCACGGCTCCCTGGGAGTGTCTGCAACATCCGTGAGGCTACCCAGCACCTCCACCAGTTTGTCACGAGGCTTCAGAAGTACGGGGGTTTATTAGGGCACCGAGTAGCTAGCTTCTGAACAATGAGTCCATCACGGCAGGCTCTCGAGCAGGGAAGAAGCACGATATCTTCCTTTTCCTTCAGGGCGAGACTCGCTCTGGCCCTCGACCCACTACGTGCGTGTAGTAGTATCTTGCAGTAAATAACGCGCACAGCTAACACGTTGGTTTCTACGGTGCTCCCGTGTAGCTAAAGTAAACCACTTACTTAAGTTTCAGTAACTGAAACCTGAAGACTTTTGTATCATACTAAACCTTCATAATGCGACAAGTAGGCGTGAGAGTTCTTTTAGTGCAACACCCTTTGTACGTGTTAAACTATACACATATTCAAAAAAGCTATCTTCAGCACTGCAACTTCATTGCATCATAAAGTATGTCACCGCTATGGCTACAAAAACCTTGTTTATACTTAGATTTTTATGAAGGTATGTCCCTTTCACTTAGCAGTTCTCCTAGCAGTTATTTAACAGATAGAAATATAAATAGATAGCGAAGAAATGCTTCGCATATAGAAATAACTGCTTCACATATTTGCACGAATTACGTGAACTTACAGTATTCACAATTCATGCTACCGCACATGTTTGGTTGACTCTCAGGACGACACATAATATTTGACGCCACCGCAACGAACTTGTCTACCTCAGGGCCCTCTGCTAGATCAGCATTTTCGTGAGGTTAATAGGAATAACTTAAAAGCTTACTTTCCCATATTTTTTGTGGCACCAAAATGTGATTGCTTCAAATGTTTACGGCAGTCATGGAAGTTTTCAACTCCAGTGTGAACGCATATAAAATAACTTTAATTACATAACCTTCTAACGGCATTTATTGAGCTTAATATCAGTGTCACTTTTTACTGTTGGAATCTCATTTACTTTTCAGAATGTATGTTGGTCGCCTCTCCACGATTTGAGAACAGCGTACCAAAGGAATGCATCTATTACTTCCGGCGAACCTGCGGCAGAAGTGCTAGCCTTCGCAGCAGAGATCACTGCAATGATGACGAAAATGCCAAGAAATGCTGAAGCACTGTGACTCCCTCTTGGAAGCCTATGGTCTGCATACAAGAGAAGCCTCAGCCGTACAGCATTTGCGTAGAAATAAATAGGTAGCACGATGCTGGCGAAGAAGAGAATAACTAGAAAAACACCGATAACTCCAGACCCTGAGACCAACTGCCCTTCTTTGTGTATATCTACTCTCCGTGTCTTTCCTCACAACCACCAGGTTACATAGCTAATACGAAAACCAACTTGTCAAGCTTTCTACGCTTATAGTGACAAATAAATATCTTTATATGTTACGTTATACGTTTACGCATGATTTTTGAAAGCGCTGATTTCACTCAGCTGTTACATTGATTTCGTTTTTTGATTTCCACCTATTCCTGCGATAACTGAAACTAGCTGGCAGTATCTAGAAAGAGTTATATATTGAGCGCATTCATTTCACTTGCTATCATATTGTTCCTCTCCCGCTAGTTATAAGCCGTGTACGCATTGGCGAGGAACTCTTACATATATGTATTCGTTTAAAATTATTTATTTATTAATCCAAATATCTCACGGGTTCCTATTTTTCGAACATTGTGTGAGGGCGAGGGGGAGACAGTAATAAACAAGAACTAGAAAATTGTTCAAAATCTGCTGAATTCAATACTACAATAAAGAGATTTTTTATAAAGACGTTGATAGGCATGAATCGAAGCACAGCAAAACACGCGAAAACAATGTCAATAAATAGATATGCATGTGCAAAACAGCCACTGTTATGAAATATATTTTATACAAAAATACAATTTAAATATTAGAATAAACAGTGACAACTACTTGAAAAACCGCTGCAAGACAATAAATTTATAAGATAAAGCAACTGTAACCAAGAAATGTTTGAGGAAAAGAATAGAGTGAGCTTATTTTTAAACGTTTTGGGCTCACGTATGTTCACAATGGTGCCCCAGAGCCTGTTCCACATTTTTATGACCCGAGAAAGTGCAAAGTTGTTATATGCGTGCGTTCGCTAGGACAAACACTGAAAGCGCATTTTAATATTGAGACGGCGAGAAGAGCGATGTGGTTTTGTAAGAGGCTGTATGGTTTGACGGATACTGTATATTTTCGTGTGTAGCAAGCAGATTAGAGCAATATCCGTAGGTGTTTGAAGATATAGAAGCGAAAGTGAATGCCTAATTTTTGTTATACTAGATAGTCTGTTGTATTCATAAGCAATGAAGTTAGCTGGGCGATTCTGGACAGCTTTAATGAATTTCATAAAGTAATGTTGTTGGGGAAGCCATATGGCTCATTCATATTCAAGCTGAGGGCGTATGAAAGTTCGGTAAGCGAGCTTGCGAGTAGTCGTTGTTGTGCTGGTAAGACTACGCTTAAGGTAGCCTACAGTTTGCGATATTTCGCAGTAGATTTATTTATGTGCGTGGACCACGATAGCTTAGGTGTAGAATTGGTGCAATCATAATAGTAGCAACTTGTATTTTAAAAAGCGTCATTTTTGAGGATATGAGTAAACGTGGAAATCAAAAGCTTTCGCCCAAAATTCATAGTTTTGCATTTGTTAGTGGTTAAACACCTAAGCCATTGATGACACCGATGCGTTATACGGTCTAGGTTATGGTGAAGTGCTACTATGGTCACTAGCCGTAGCAATTTTTCTATACAACTTACAGTCATTTACGAACAATCTGATTTTGGATGTTATCTTCAACGACAGATCGTTGATGAATATAAGAAATAAAAAAGGGCCTAAGACGCCCCCTACGGAACACACGAAGAAACGTCAGTAATGTGAGGTGAAGTGCCTTTGATGACCATGAACTGTTTGCGAAATTGCAAGAATACTGATTCCTTAATTAAGGAATCGGTATTAAGTCATGAAAAATTTTCTATAAGGCAACAGTGGGCTACACGATCAAATGCTTCTGAAAAGTTTATGAGTAAACAGTCGGTCTGAGAATTATCATTAGCGTTTCGGTATAGAGTATTAGAAAATTCTGAAACTAGCATTTCACTTGAACATTTTTTTAAAAACCTTGTTGGTTATGTAAAAAGAAATTAGTAGATTCCAAGTGTACGCGTGAGACGATGATGTGTTCATGTAATTTACCGGGTACACTAGTTAATAATTTCAGTCCATAATAAGAAACGTTGTTTCTATCTCTGATTTGTGCACTGAAATGAATTTTCCAATTTTCCAGTCGTATGGGATTTCGCCTGCGGTTACAGATTGCTGGAAATTTTGTGCGAGAATTGTACTTGACGTAATGACTGTTTAAGAATTTACGAGTCAAATCCGGATGCTACAGATGAGGTGGATATTTTTATTGATGGTATTCGCTCAGATGTAACATTGATAGGGCTCATGTACTTGCAGCCAACTTCTAAGAAACAACGCGTGTTGAAGCAGTTTCCTATGTAGGCACAGATGTATAGTATAGCCAATGAACATAGTTGCAAAACCTTTGTATTGAATGGCATTATTGTAAAGGTCGGAAAGTGGGATGCGACATGACTTTTTGGAAGTTTGATTTTTTCCCTAAATTTCACAGGAATACTGATGTATATTGATTGAAAGTAATGTGATAAAGTTTAGTGTTTGCTCTGCATGCAGCGTCCAAACACTCTTTTTGCCTTTGACAGTGGTGAACCCGAGTTCCTAACTACTTTATATATACATCACTTCTTATTTCTGAGCTGCCGAAGTGACCTTGTAAACCTTGGTTTTGATACGTTAACACGGGTAGAAATCCGTGGTACGTAATCATGAATGAGTCGGTGTATGTTGTCTTTGAATAGCGCCATGAACTGATCGCAGCGACAAGGAAGTGAAGAATTCGTCATGAAAAGTCTGCCTTTGTTGATGACTTATACGTCATCTTTCTTGTAATTTACAATCAGTTTAGGAGTAGAATGACGAGAGAAATGTGGATTTTCAATCACTGGATGAAAGAGAGCAGGATCACTGAAGTCATCATGACAAGAAAGAAGACGAACTTTCTCTGGGGAAGACATTAAAATGAGATCGAGAATGTTGTTACATCGAGTAGGTGGTTTAAAAGTTGGACAACGGAGGAATCAAGTGCAAGTTGAAGGCAGTCATTAAAAGCACCTGCTTGGGAAGTAAAGTTAGGCCATGGCAGAAAACTTGAAATCCACAAACAAAAATATATCTGACTTTGGGTATTTCGACTTGACATCGCTAATTTTTTTCATTTAGCCCTTTTCAAGGGATAACCGGGGGGAGGGCGATAACACATACCGAAAATGATGTTGGATGAGCGCGACGGCACGAAGAAGGACGACTGGTATGATTGACAAAAGTATCAGCAATACTGAAATTTATATTCTTGCAAACTATATCCATCGAATGAGATTAAGCATATATCACTCACTAAATCACTACTTAAAAGAAACCGCATTTGAGGTTACACTCTTTTACAAAGGGAAAAACTTGCTTTAATGCTTCAGAACCTCAGCTACAGTGGAAGCTACTAGGTCAGTTATCGTTCAAGGTCAAAATTTAACAGTAAATCTTTACTGTTAAACGCTGGCTGTAAGAAAAGCTTGGAGGAACTTCAGCGCATTACTGTTATCATCAACAACATGAAGCGAAGGCCGTGGTTAGAGTTTCATCATCCCTGTCGTTGCCATAGGCGAGCGCCTCCTATACCTTGGACACTGTATACTCGACCCTACGGTGCGTCTCTCCCATGCACGTGCTATATTCTCGTTATGGGGGCAGTTGGCACGTCTCGCGCTTTCACCCTAAAGTTTGCGCTGAAATTACAGAATGGCCAAAGGTCACATCGCTCACCGCAGCGGCCGCAGTTGCGAAAACAGTGAACTGTTCAGATATAAAAGAAGTACTAGCTGTGTTAGTGCACACTCGGCCTGTACGTTCATTACGGGCGTCCTTCTTTCCACCTGAGCAGCGCCTTGCACGTTTTGAGCTGCTTGCAGGCCTTAACGCTACATTGCGATTAGTCCTAATAGCACTTTTTTATTTGGCCTGGTGGTGAAACTGTAACTTTGCATATTTCTTGAAATATTTTGGATCATGGGATGTTACTAAAACCATCATTTACTTCAAATGGTTTTCTCTGACGTGATTGGAGATGTCGCGACTGCAATATAGTCAATTTTTTGAAAATCCTAGTAAATTTGTTGGCCGAATTACGCGCCCGAGAGCCAATATCGGGCTTGTCATTCGTGAGTAGGTATTTTCGCGTGTAGTTAGAATACTATCCCACGGGACGTTATTTTACCTGCGCAGTACTGAAGTCAATACTTGTGAACCACAATGCAAAGAAAAGTTAAAGGGTAATTAAATCAAGGGCCTCCAACTTACCCTGAACTTTCAAGGATGGCCTTAACAAGCGTTGCAAAAAACTAGTTATGGGTTTTGCTCAAAGGAAATTTGTGTTGTGATCTGCCTGTTAATACTCTCGCCATGAAATAAACCGAGCCAGTCGTTCGCCTTTACACACCGAATGAACGAATACCCGCCACACTAAAGAGCAGCAGGAACAAACTTTGCTGAAGCCTTTCGTTACTAAGCATGTCAAAATGAAGCGCCAGTGAAAGAAGATTTAAGATTTTTTAAGAACCTTGGCGAACCTTTGTATATACTCACTGCAGCCCACGTTCACTAAACATAGCACGGTTAAAGCACCGGTGGGTGTATGGGTCTAAAACTTTTTTGTTGTTCGGCAGGACGCACGTTAGCGCGCAGTGGGCGACTCCCATGTCGGTTACGCCTGGCCAAGCCGGTCAGCCGCTGCGCGGGCCTTCCGGACGGCCCAGAGTTGGTCGGACAGAATAGGACTGCGGAGGGCCGCCTACCGCCTGGCCAAAGTAGTGTCGGACTTAATGTGCATTGCCTTACACTTCTAGAGTATGTGTGGAGGCTTGGTGTCATAACACCGGTGTATGTAATTATAATGTAGCTTTTTACGTGCACCTAGGTGGTAGGAAATATTATCTGGGTTTTCACGTCCCGAATCCACGATGTGTATATGAAGAACGCCGTTGTGAAAGGCTCTAGAAATTTCTATCGTCTGCTCTTCTTTAACGTGCAGTGACATTGCGCAGTACACGAGGGTATTGGAAAGAAACGCGAGCAACGCAGCGCACTGTTTTTATCGCGCTTGGACTTTTGTGCCATTGAAAAGATACTACATGATTCTTGATTCTGGCATAAATCAATCCAGCAGCCATATTGTCATGCAGGCTGGAAGCAATTGAAAAAAAAATAAGTGTAGAACACCAGAGCGCGTAGACAGCGCACTGTTTACGTTTCTTTTCCTCATGATAACACAAACAGAAACTACCGAAAGATACAAAACATTCATTTCATTACTACGGTATACGTAACCGACTGTGTACCGAAATGGTTCGTCTATACATACGTGCACACAGGTGCGGAAAAGTTTCGTAGGGGTGTGGAGGAGGATTACTATATTCACTGAAATAAAAAAAGAAGGCAACTCTCTCGGCAATCATTTCTTCTTTTTTTTTTTGCTTGTTTTGTGGAGGCAGAGTTCATTCACACAAGCAACAGCTGCAGGGAAATGTGACACGGAGAAAAGTGACACGCAATTATCGGAGGCTGCATGCAATGGCTGCTTTTCCTTTCGGGGAAGAACGTTTGTTCACTACGTTAGCGAATCACGTCAATATTCTATCAAGTCCCAATAGGTTTTTTATTCATTTTTGTGAGCACCTGCTACATTCTATCTAAAACGCCTACTTGAAACATCAAGCAAATGTAATTTAGACAAAGAAAGAAAATGAACTTTGTGCTATCCCCAAACGCTGATTGGAATGACGAGCAGAGCACAAGCGTAGGCAAAACAAATATTCTCTTCAATCTGCTCGTGTCTAATTTCGACCGTCCCCCAGGTCAAGCAAGGCTGTCAACAAAGTCGAGTTCATACTGGGTCGTCGCGTGTTATAGAAAAACAATAAAAGGCTGCTGTGATAAGAAACGTAACATGTTCCTAATATAAGCTCAGTAGCTAATCTTGTTTTTAAATGCAAAACATTTTTTAGCAAACTTCGCTGACATTAGGCTTCCCTATCTATCTATCTATCTATCTATCTATCTATCTATCTATCTATCTATATCTATCTATCTATCTATCTATGTATACCAAAATTGCTGTGACATAACATGAGTGTATGACGACCATAAGTGACTAGTCATAACATGAAAATCAAGATCTCTATGTCATGAATTCTATGATTGACATTTATTGGTCTTCCTGCTCTTGCGGTGGTTTCATTCACATGACGTGTTGCAAAACTGGTATGGTATGACATGATTGCATGGCGAACAGAAACGACAGACCTTAGCATTAGAAATATGATATGCTTGTCATGTACCAATATGACTACATGCCACACTCATGATACACTCGCGGCCGTTTCGCTGGCTTCGCATATACCACATTTGCTATTACGGTACGTGAATGGATTATGAAGGTATGTGGCTGGTGCAAACATGATAATCATGAGATTCGTGTCATGCAACAACATGAATACAATGCATGCGCATGATGAACGCGCGGCTGTTCGCTAGCTTGACATATACTAACTTGGCATTACATGATCCGAAGTGGGTGACGAACGTGATTTACACGTCCAAACATCATAATGATGACATGCATGTCTAGAAAACATGACTACATGCTGCGCTCATAGTGCGCTCGCGGACGTTTCGCTAGCTTCACACATACCAATTTTGGTGTTACTTGACGTCAGGAAATGACGAAGGTATATGGCTGGTGCGAACATGATTATTTTGGCATGCGTGTCATGACTGAATGCTACGCTCATAGCGTGCTCGCGGACGTTTTGCTAGCTCCACATATACCAAATATGGTACTACGTGACGTGAATAGACGAGGAAGGTAAATAGCACATCCAAACATGATAATCATGATATGCGTGTCATGTAAAACATAACTACATGTTAGGCTCTTAGCGCGCTTACGGACGTCTCGCTAGCTCCACATATACCAAGTTTGGTATCACATTACGTGAATTGACGACGAATGTAAATGGCACGACCAAACATAATAATCATGACATAAAAGTCATGTACGGCAAAATTTACTTTCACCTTGTAACGTTGTGCTGAATTGAAAGTGACATGTCAACCTTGCTCATTCGTGCTTCGCATATCATAGATTCCCACTGTACGTGCGATCTGCCATTTTTTTTTCAAGAGCCTCTCTAGAGTGTCACGCCAATTTAATCCCAATACTCCTATAAACAGTGTAAATACCATGATTGGTGGATATAACACACGTCTAACCTATTATTCCCCTACCTTCATAATGAAACACCTGCGAACCCTGTGGTCGAAAGTGGAAACCACTTTTACTAATTTATTTTGTCTCGCCCAAATTGCAACGCAGCTGTGCGTCCTCTGACGCTACCTGCGGGCATAAAAATTGCGGCCGGGTACGAACCGCGGAGTGTGATTCCTACGAGTTGTACGTACCGCAATTCCACATGGGTCTTGCCGTTGCTGGTATCAAGTTTCTCCTGCTAATTGCTCTTACGCAAGCCTCTCGAGGACCAAACAAGCTACAACGAGACCTCCCAGACTCCTTCAAGGTAAAATGACTCTAGCGAACCACGAGGAGTGTAATAGCCACGTCAGCTCAATCAGCGTGCTGACGGAAACATTTCGAAGCATGCCCTTTCTGAACTTATTTATTTCACGGACACACCCATGGCTTCTTTTGGACATTGCATTGCTAAAGCTGCATCTTCGCGTTGGCGGCAAACATGGTTTTCGTTTGGTGAATACTGTTACATTTTTATTTCTGGCACTCCTCTTTGTCTTGCGAGTAACAAATAGCAGTTGCGCTGATCCTGAACACTGAAAGATTTACTGCACAGCTCTTCCAGTGCAGAAAATGTAATCACAATCAGTCTGTTTTATGCTCACTGCAGGCAGAAAGACTCTCGTGTTAATCTCCGAATGGATATATCTGTTTCGAATCGATTACGCTGCTTTGCTGATAACTTGTTAGTTTGATCGACACAACTATGTCGCTTCAAACTTTGGGAGCTTTTTCCTTATTTTGGGGTGCACTATTTTACTGCGACTGCTTCCATTTGCCCGTAGGTATTGCGTTATCCACCTTGGTTAACTTCTCTCGCTTCATGGAAGCTAGAATATCTGCTACTCCTGTTTTAAGTGGAGAGCACTCTAGAGTGTCAGGCTGTCGGATGCTACCATATGCTGTCGTGTCGTACTCTGTTATAATTCCTTTGCGTAACGCAGGCAGAACCAGACATAGCATAACCAACTATAGCCTATTGAATACACGCTCGCGATAAGAAGAAATCATCTTCCTCTAGTTCTTTAAGCAACTTCCTAATCACATTAGGTGAGGACATTTTCATACGTTGGATAACGAAATCATCATCAGCAGCAGTAGCAGCAGCAGCAGCAGGAGCCTGCCTACGTCCACTGCAGGACAAAGGCCTCTCCCATGTTCCGCCAGTTAACCCGGTCCTGTGCTTTCTGCTGCCAATTTATACCCGCAAACTTCTTAATCTCATCTGCCCACCTAACCTTCCGTCTCCCCCTAACCCGCTTCCCTTCTCTGGGAATCCAGTTAGTTACCATTAATGACCAGTGGTTCTCTTGTCTATGCGCTCCATGCCCGGCCCATTTCCATTATCTCTTCTTTATTTCAACTATGACATCCTTAACCCCCGTTTGTCCCCTAATCCACTCTGCTCTCTTCTTGTCTCTTAAGGTTACACCTAACATTTTCTTTCCATTGCTCGCTGCGTCGTCTTCAATTTAAGCTGAACCCTCTTTGTAAGTCTCCAGGTTTCTTCTCCGTAGCTAAGTACCGGCAAGATACAGCTGTTATATACCTTCCTTTTGAGGGATAGTGGCAACCTACCTGTCATAATTTGAGAGTGCTTGTCGAATGTGCTCCACCCCATTCTTAGTCTTCCAGTTACTTTAATCCCGTGGTTCGGCTCTGCGGTTATTACCTGCCCTAAGTAGACATAGTCTTTTACAACTTGAAGTTCGTTTTTACCTATATCGAAGCGCTGCTCTTTTCCGAGGTTGTTGTACATTACTTTCGTTTTCTGCAGATTAATTTTAAGACTCACCTTTCTGTTCTCCTTGTCTAACTCCGTAATCATGAGTTGCAATTCGTCCCCTGAGTTACTCAGCAATGCGATGTCATCGGCGAAGCGCAGGTTATTAAGGTACTCTCCATTAACTCTTACCCCTAACTGTTTCCATTCTAGGCTTCTGAAAACCTCCTGTAAGCACGCGGTAAATAGCATTGGGGAGATTGTGCCCCCCTGCCTTACACCCTTCTTAATTGGTATTCTGTTGCTTTCTTTATGAAGCACTATGGTAGCAGTTGATCCCCAGTAGATTTCCTTCAGAATGTTTACATATACTTCATCTACGCCACGATTCCGCAGTGTCTGCATGACGGCTGATATTTCTACTGAATCAAACACCTTCTCGTAATCTATGAAGGCTATGTATAGTGGTTGGTTATATTTTGGGCATTTCTCTATTACCTGATTGATAGTATGGATGTGGTCAATTATTGAGTAGCCTGTTCGAAATCCAGCTTGTTGCTTCGGCTGATTTAATTATAATCTTTTCTTTACTCTGTTAGCAATTACCTTTGTAAATAGCTTGTATACTACAGAGAGCAAGCTGATCGGCCGGTAATTCTTAAAATCCTTGTCATATCCTTTCTTATGTATTAAGATGATGTTGGCGTTCTTCCAAGACTCTGGTACTCTTCCCGTCAGGAGACACCTCGTAAACAGGGTGGCTAGTTTTCTTAACACAATCTGTCCTCCATCTTTCAGCAGATCTGATGTTACCTGATCCTCACCAGCAGCTTTGCCTCTTTGCATGCTCTCCAAAGCTTTTCTGACTTCTTCTATCATTACTGGTGGGGTGTCATCTGGGTCTGCAAGTTCTTATAGTATTAAGGTCGTGGTTGTCTCGGCTACTGTACAGATCTCTGTATAACTCCTCCGCTATTTTAAGTATCCTATCCATATTAGTAGTTATTTTGCCTTCTTTGTCCCTTAGTGCATACATCCGACTTTTTCCTATCCCAAGTTTCCTCTTCACTGCTTTGACGCTTCTTCCATTTTTCAGAGCGTGTTCAATTCTCTCCATGTTATACCTTCTTACATCGCATACCTTACGCCTATTTATCAACTTCAAAAGATCTGCCAGTTCTAATTTGTTTGTTGTACTTGAAACTTTCATGATTTGACGCTTCTAATTAGATTCTTTGTTTTCTGGGAAAACTTGCCAGTGCCCTGTCTCTCTACCCTGCCTCTAACTTCCACTGCACACACCGTAATGATACTCGTCAGATTATCATTCATTGTATCTACGCTAAGGTTGGTTTCCTCACTAAGAGTCAAGTACCTGTTCTGAAGTGGCACTCTGAATTCCTGTACTTTACCTCTCAGTGCTAGCTCATTGATTGGCTTCTTGCGTATCAGTTTCTGTCGTTCCTTCTTCAGGTCTAGGCAAATTCGAGACCGTACCGTTCTATGATCACTGCATTGGATCTTGCCAACCACTTCCACATCCTGCACGATTCCTGGGTGTGCACTCATTATATAGTCTATTTCGTTCTTATTTTCGCCATTAGGGCTCCTCATGTCCACTTGCGGTTTTCTCGTTTTCGGTAGAAAGTATTCAAAATCCGTAAATTATTGCGTTCTGCGAATTCTACTAGTAGCTCTCCTCTGGCGTTTCTAGTACCGATGCCATAATCTCCCACAGCCTGGTCTCCAGTCTGCTTCTTCCCTACATTTGCATTAAAGTCGCTCATCACTATAGTACACGGTGTCCCTACCTTACTCATTGCCGATTCCACGTCTTCATAGAAGCTTTCAACTGAAGCGTCATCAAGGCTGGATGTAGGCGCGTAAGCCTGTACCACCTTCATCTTGTATATTTTAAAAATTCTGTTTAATTACGACACCTACCACCCTTTCATTCATGCTATAGTATTCCTCTATGTTGCCAGCTATGTTTCTGTGAATTAGGAACCCCACTCCCAGTTCTCTGCAGTCTGCCAAGCCCCGATAGCAAAGGTGCGCCCATTCTGTAGCACCGTATAGGCCTCATCCGTCCTCCTAACCTCACTGAGCCCTATTATATCTCATTTAACACCCTCTAGCTCCTCGAATAGTACAGCTAGACTCGTCTCACTAGATAAGGTTCTAGCGTTAAACGTTGCCAAGTTTGGGTTCCAATGGCGGCCTGTCCGGATCCAGAGATTCTTAGCACCCTCTGCTGCGTTGCAGATCTGACCACCGCCGAGGTTAGTTGCATCGCAGCTGCTGGGGACTGTGGGCAGTGAGTTATTTGACGTATGCATGTGGGAGGTAGTGGCCAGATACTGCACCAGGGTGGCCAATCGTTCTCTGGTGAGGGAGTGCATTCCCGGCGGTGGTTACCGGTTAGGCCGCACCCCAGGCCTCTTAATGCAGTTCCATTACCACGCGGATTTGTTTTATCCGGTTGGGAACTGCGCAACACCAGGATTTGAACCACGGACCTTTTGCATGTGAGGCGGATGCTCTAACCACTACGCCATCGCCGTAATAGGCTAAAGAAATACGTCAACACAAATCACATATACAAAGTGAAAAAGGAAATAATCGAGAAATATAAAAAGAGAGAAAAAAACGGGAACATGGAAAGAATCTGGAATAAGAATAAAGAACAAGAACAATAAAAAACTGTAAAGGAGAACAAAGAAAGAGAGAAGGCTAGAAAAAGAAAAAAGAACGGAAGAAAAGGACACTGCGCACCCCCGCACCAAATTGCTTCAGTCTGTCTTCGCACAACTAGGACGCCGCTGCACTGATTATCTGCTATGATTCTTCTTTCCAATAATCAGTCTGTGAATGTTAAAGCCATCATTTATCGCTTCACACCACGCTACGGGGTCTAAAACTTTTACTGAGTTCACCCCTTACATTCCTAATGGGCGAAGCGGTAAATTGCTTGTCAAGAAATCTGAATATCTGCCATATGCACTCCAGCCCATTCATATCATACCATGAATATTTTTTCGTGAGTAAGCTTTCCCGCCAGGAATTCATCAAGGTAGAAACACCCCTTCAGAGACCTTGAAGGGTGGTCGATTGCTCATGTTCCACCCTTGTTTTTTTTTCCAGGATAATGAGTATTTATTTATCATCAGCGGCATCATTTTGTTGTTTTTTTTCTTTATTTTGAAATTTATTGCCATCATTCCAAGATAGCGGCATGTCCTGTACATGCCATTAGTTTCTGTCATTTCTGCGCTCAATCTCGAAAACTATGTCTCGTTAAATGATTGGTATCATTCCAACCACACACACACACAGATATATATATATATATATATATATATATATATATATATATATATATATATATATATATATACAATTGCCGGGAATAAATTTTTGGACGCCGGTTAATAGTATGGATAAAGAGAAGACACACGTCAAAAAACAGAAAGATTTCTTTACGTTTCGGCCGTGGGACCGGCCTTCGTCAGAAAACAGAAGTAAAAGTGGTGCAACAGCATATA